AGTGTTACTGTCCCAATTACAGTTTTTGTGCCTTTTTTTCTGAGAGTGTATGATGGGGACATTCATGCAGATCCACTGGTGAGTGAAATCAAGTCGCGTAGGCTACGTGTTGGTGGGTGGTATGCTGTTCCCTACACGGGTGGCATCGTGACAAAACCGCAGTTTGCTCAAGAAGTGCAGTGTAGTTTCACTGTCTCATTTAAGGAAATTCCGAGAAGGCGCTACAGAAGTTTTGAAAGCCAGTGCATGACCATCTACACGAGGTAAGACACGTCCGCTCTTCTGCTACTGTAGTCACCGCATTTGAGTTATTTTTTCCATTGCTGTATTACTTTCAGTCATAGTAAGCAAACATATTTGCTTTTCTTTAATATTATAACTCAAGATTTGTTCCACGCAACCAGTTTTTTGGGGGAAACCCGTCATGCATGCTTGAAGGACCATTATTAACAACTTCCCACAACATTTCTGTGTGGAATACCCGATAAAAGGTCATTTGAGCACGAGTTTTAAGTTTATGATTATTTTCATAACCTCAAAAAGTTGTAGGCTACTTGCACAGAAATTGTTGCGTGCCGACTGATACGCAAACTTGCTTTGTCATGTCTCTATGAAAACGGGAAATATGATAGCTGGTTGTTTTTGTGCTTGTTTCGTATCCCGATCTGTCACGAGGGATGAAGTCTGTGGGTGCGTTTTTGTTTGACGCTCTCTTATAGCTTATAATGAAAAACAGGAGTTAAGGTTTTTAATGTCGTTTCCAGGAACGCGCTTTAAACCTGCCAGACCTGCTGTCACGAAAACCCGAGATGAGCTCGTTTTATTTTCAATGGATTTTACTCTCAGCACTTTGGATTGCAGGTAAGAGTTCATTTTCACGTCGCTGATTAGTTTGGGTTTGTCCATTGTCGTGTTGAATTCATCTAGTGTTTATTGTGGTCGCTGCGCGTTCAAACAACGGGAAAGAATTAATAAAGGTGATGCTTTTTCAAATGTGAAAATAAAGAGCCAAGTTTTTTAAATTTTAATTATCATGCAAATTTGTTTTCATTGACTGATTCAGCCTTCCTAAATTTCAGTGCGTTCATGAAATGCAGTGACTCCGATTAGGTTTTAAAAATACACTCTAAAAAATGCTGGGTTAAATACAACCCAGTGCTGGGTAAAATAGGGACAAACCCAGCAATTGGGTTGTTTTGACCCAGCGGCACTGGGTTGTATTTAACCCAGCATTTTTTAGAGTGTAGGCTATGTTAGCTATTCTTAGCAAAGATTATGAAGATATCGAAGTTTCATTTGCTGTTGTTACACAGGCCAATGTGTTAAAAACTTCACCGGTTCACCGTTCACATACTGAACTAAAAAGCTTATCCTCAGCTGCGGTTACGGAACTTTTCAAAACCACCACCGCAGAATAAAAATGCTTACATGGGTTAGAAATAAGGTCAGAAGATATTCTCTTTTTTCTTTCAAAGCGGTTTCAGAAGCTACAAAGGTCGAGTTCGCTAAACAGACTCTGGTATGGCAAGCCGTTCTCACATTTATTCCTTCACGGGATATGAATTCTTGATATCAACAATTCAAGTTTCACTAGTTAAAATGCTAATTCTTGATATCAGGAATTGGATTTTTACTGGTAACAATGGATATTTTTGATATTAAGAATTACATTTCCACTAGTAAAAATGTTCATTCTTGATATCAACAATTAAATTTTCACTAGTTAAAATACTAATTCTTGATATCAGGAATTACATTTCAACTAAAAACTAGAATTCTTGATATCTGTAATTGTATTTTCACTAGTTAAATGTCACCATAGGCCGCCATTCAAATTCAGTTGCTGATATCAAGAATTTATTTCTTATAGTTAAAAAATTCAAATTTCACATATCAGAAATACAATTCTTATTAGTAAAAACCTTTATTTTTTATATCAGTAATCATGTGGTTACTAGTGCAAATGGCTATTCTTGATATCAACAATTTAATTGCCACTAGTGACAATATTCATTTCTGATATCTGAACATGTATTTCTGATATCAACAATTGGGAGGGTAATTTCTGATATCTAAAATGACTTTTGTTACTAGTAACAATCACATTCATGATATCAGAAATGAACATTGTCACTAGTGACAATTAAATTGTTGATTTCAAGAATAGACGTCTGTACTATAGTAACCATGTGATTACTGATATCAAAAATAAAGGTTTTTACTAATAAGAATTGTATTTCTGATATGTGAAATTGGAATTTCAACTATTAAGAAATCAATTCTTGATATCAACAATTGAATTTGAATGGCAGCCTACGGTGATATTTAACTAGTGAAAATACAATTACAGATATCAAGAATTATAGTTTTTACTAGTTGAAATGTAATTCCTGATATCAACAATTGGCATTTTAACTAGTGAAAATGTAACCCTTTAGGTGCCAGGGATTTTTTGGGAAAATGCTGGATTTTGACATCAAGATTTCAAAAGCTTGTGGCTTGAAAGGGCTTAAAGATAGAGATCTACTGTAAATTAGAAAAATGTTGGGCATGACCAAAAGTTTATGTGGGGTGTAAATATACTAGTCTAATTTGCATAGTATGACGTCATCAGAGTCAGAGTCATAATATTCAGGAAATAATAGATATTGAATGGATGTTTGAACTTATTTGCACGCTTTTTTTTTGTCTTTTTATCCTCATTCCAAATGATCAGAAAAGAGGAAACCAACAATAAAACAGGAGAAAGTACTAAATTACCAACAGGCCCATCAAAGCGTTTGATACAGTCCTGATACACTTCTTAATTTCTCAAATAAACCCAGCCACCATTGTCATTGCTATTTCCAGCCCTATTTAGATCCAGATCACTAAATAGTGATCTAGCTTATGTATAGCCTCTACCACGTCTCCCAGCTCTCCCACGCACAGCACGGCCACGTGTACCGCGGCCACTCCCACCTCTTTGGGGCAGCTAGTGCTACTTCCAGCCCTATTTCTCCTACCCCTGCTGCCTCTACCTCAAGCAACAGTTCTCCTATGGACACTACGACCACATCCACCCCTGCCACCCCCATCCCCATTGGGCAAAGAGTCGAAATGATCACTTGTTTGTGCTTCGTGAACACTCTCGCCTTGCACGGCGGCACCATTGCACTGCAAAGATGTACCGGGAGAAGATGACTGATTATTAGACGACCGATCGTCATTTCCAAAAGGCAAATATTCCCCTTCAGAGTCAGAATCGGCGAATAACATTTGCAACACATCCTCACGGTACAACTTTCTATTAGCCATTTGGCGATTTTCTCTCACAAATCTCACAATTTACTCGCACGCTATGAACTGAACTGCTTCCGCATCAATGACACGATAGCTCACTTGCTCTGCTATTTCCTCGAACACTTTGAATAGGAATGTGACGTAATTTTGGTCTAGATTCGAAGTACTGCATGTCTGCCATCTAGTGGTAGGGAATACAAATGTGATATTACACCGTATTAGGAACTACAGTCTATTTTATTAAGTATGACATCTTGTCGCAATTTTGCGACTTTGGCGCTTAGAGGGTTAATTGTTGATATCAAGAATTAACATTTTTACTAGTGGAAATGTAATTCTTGATATCAAAAATAGTCATTGTTACTAGTAAAAATCCAATTAAAAGTTAGTGAAAATTGAATTGTTGATATCAAGAATTCATATACTGTGAAGGAATAAAAGTTCTTGAAACTACAGCTTGCCATATCTCGGCAGGTGGTCTGAGTAGGCCTACAGTTCGCTAAAAACGTGCATTGTGAACACAAATCGGCCCGGGCTCACTTGATTTTTCCATTCGCGAATTCCGATGTAGTTTGGTCATCGGATGTCTCCATCCAAATCATCTGGTTAAAAATGGCTGCTTTTTATGAAAGATCTCTACAAATTATTCTCTCACAACGTACACTCGTTTATTTTAATTTCAACCACTTCCAAACTGCACAAGGTAGACTGTTGCACTCGCATCTCACACAAGAGATGAATAGAAAGCCATGTAAAGTTAAAAGACGTTCAACTTTTAGAAAACATGTCTCGAGAATTTGTCGGGCTTTATTCCATTCCACTGTGTTCTCATATGTTTTTAAATGCAATCGTGATCGGCGCTTTGGCTATTTAAGCTATGCATGCTATTAATGATTCTGTTTTGTTCACAATTGTTTATGCAATTTACGAAATCATATCTGATTTATAAATATTAGTTTTGACGTTATGCAGTTTTGTTTATAGACAGTCGTTATTTCATTGCATTGAATAAACTGTTTAATGCGGTGCATTATTTTGCTCATTGCGACCTCCTGTGGCCTCAGGAGACAGCTAGGCCAAATGTTTCCTTAACACTTATTTAATCTGCATATATATGAAAGTAGAAATTTTATTTTGTGTTTGACTGTTAAAACTAAAAGTAGTTGTTGACTCAATAAATTGGGTAAATTAAAAATACAGTGGTTAAATTTAAATCTTTTTTCTACTGGTTTTATAACCTTTTCTAAAAGGTTATAAAAAATGCAATAATTATTGATATCGAATGATATGAAACATTATATCGTGATAAAATATTTAGCTATATCGCCCAGCCCTAGGGTCAGCCATCAAACACTGAACTGGACTAGATCCAAAAAGCAACAGTCTGAACACAAAGAGGTCTGAGACACCATTACTGCTTAAGTGGACCAAAAAAGGATCTGAGTCCTCTTTCAGGAACAGGGACAGTGTGAACGTAAAGAAAACCGGGTCGGCTATATTACATTTATATATGCTAGTGATATATCAGAGGTTGTTAGGCAAAAACAGTGCACGTATCATGCATGTAAACACACTTTATTATAGATTTACAAAACAGAAACTTTTTTTTTAATTTTTTTTATTTAAATCGTGTTAAATGTGCAAATGTGTTTTCTACACCGATCATATTTGTAAAAAAAAAAAAAAATCATATACAGTGTATATCTATTTTACGTTTCAGAAGCTACGAAGGTCAGATTTCGCTAGACAGACGCTCTGCGAATGAAGGAGGACATAACCATAGCAACCGGAGATGGCTCGCTCGATCGCGCGTGTTGTTCATTAATCGGTGCAAAATCGCTTGTAAACGCACTGTTTTTTAGTTTTTTTATTTAAAACGTGTTAAAGGTGCAGTGTGTGTATTCTGCACACAAATTTTTGCAAAAATAATAACTGTGTCTGAAATCACATACAGTACGTCCATTTTACTTTCAATGTCGTTTTTTACACAGACTTCACTAAATAGACGCTCCGCGAATAAAAGGACATAACCATTGCAACCAGAGATCGCTCGCTCGATCGCGCCTGTTGCTCGGCATAATTGGTGTACGTAAATGGCACATATAAACGCACTTTATTATGTATTTACAAAACACAAAAACGTTTAGTCTTTTATTTAAAACGCCTCCGAAATCGCATACGGTACACCCATTTTACTTTGGCTTCAACTGCGTTTATGAACGATTTAGAAGCTACAAATATCAGAGTTCGCTAAATAGACACTTGCAAATGTGAGTCGCGTTTGCCCAGGACGTAACCATAGCAACCGTGGATCAATCTTTCGCATATTATTGGGTATAATCGGTGCACGTAAATCGCGCATATAAACGCACTGTCCTATATATTTACAAAACACAGAAACCTTTTGTTTATTATTATTATTATTATTATTTAAAACGTGTTTAAAGATGCAGTGTGTCTTTTTTGTATCAAACGGATTTGCAAAAATAATCAAACCACATACTTTCATCAGAGTACTGTAGCCTATTCAGTGTAGAACTTGCTTCTTAAATGTAGTTGAATGCGTTATTAGGTACATTTTCTCTAACCCGGTTTACCAAAATTAAAAAAAAAACAACAACAATTAGAGTTGTTGTCTTTAAACAGGTAATTAGTCCCATACTAACAAAAATTATTTTAATTTTTTTCACTTCAAGGGAGTCCGATGCACATCATAAATCGCAGGTCATATGCCATCAGTGCTGGTCTTGCATTTAGGATTGAGTGCAACGAAGAGAGTGAATTGCAGAATGTGAGTGTGAGCTGGAGCCTTGTTCCCAGTCGGAGTCTGGATAATATCAACGGAATAAACACTAACGTCAACGAGCTCTGGTTTCTACCTGCTGACCTCTCCCACAGCAGATCCTACTCTTGTCTCAGCAGGTACTGATGCAATTCTCAGAGTTGCTGATTTAGTTTTGAAACATATGTTCTGAACACTGAAGAACTTGTTTAATCACAATCATTTTCAGGTATCGTTGTTTTAGTCCACTTACATGTTGAAAATGCTCATTTGGTCATTCAAAATGGAATCTAATTATTTAACACTAAAACACTCTCTTAGCATTTACAAGTCTGAAATGTAATGACCAAAATGATCAGGATTCTATAGTTCAAAACAAATGTCCTCCTCTTATTTCTAATGTTGTCAATGATTTCTCTGTGCATTGACGTTTAAGTTCAGATGGTCATATGTTTAAACGCTTGTAGTTGTAATACATTGCATGATCTCATTGCTAGTTGTAATCACAGTTATAATACGTATCTATTCATTGTTACACTTTGAGCAAATATAATGCATTAAAACACACGACAAAGAACCAATTTCAGAACTCCTCAAATATTATAATGCATTTCATCATTAGTTATTTTTATGAAAATATATACTGTATTACAACATACATGAATACCTTTAATGCATTATACATAAAGGTTTCAAACTAAATCTTACGAAAACCACCTTTGCATTATATGTTTTGTGTTCAATATTCCCTCTTTGCCTGTGTTTCATCCCAAATGTTGTTCTATATGGCAGAAAAGGCAATGAAACCTGGGAAACAATATTTGAGGTCTGCGTTGAGAATAAAACATGCCCCCATGTGAACAGAAAAGACGAAGTAACAAGCACAGAGGAACTGTCTTGTTTCCTTCCTCACATCTTTGAAATAGACCCTCAAGCTCAAGTGACCTGGAGAAATGTAAGACATGAGCGTAAACAGAACTGAACCAAACAACTACTGCACAAGACCAGCATGCTGAAAAATAATAAAATTCAACTGACTTTAAAGCTGTAGTTCACCCAAAAATGAAGAATTGCTGAAAGTTTACTCGCTCTCAGACCATCCAAGATTAGGATGAGTTTGTTTCTTCATCAGATTTGGAGAAATGTAGCATTGCATCAGTGTCTCAGCAATGGATGCTCTGCAGTGAATGGGTGCCGTCAGAATGAGAGTCCAAACAGCTGATAAAAACATCACAATAATCCACAAGTAATCCACACCAGTCCATCAGTTCACATCTGGAGAAGACAAAAGCTGCATGTTTGTAAGACTTGTTTTAACTTCAAACCATTGCTTCCAGCTAAAATACGAGTCCATAATCCATAATCACGCTTTCTCCAGTGAAAAAGTCATCTGGTGTGAATCAGGAGAGAAATCTGCACAGATCAAGCACCATTTAAACAGCTTTACACAAATATGTGGCTGGTTTTTGATGTGAGAGACAACAGGAGATGGACTTTTTCACTGAGGAAGTGTTATTATGGATTATGAACTCGTATTTAAGTCTGAAGTTAAATTATTGAAGTCTGATGGATTTGTGTCTTACAAACATGCAGCTTTTGTCCGATGTTAACTGATGGCCTGGAGTGCTGTGGATTACTTGTGGATTATTGTGATGTTTTTATCAGCTGTTTGGACTCTCATTCTGACGGCACCCATTCACTGCAGAGCATCCATTGCTGAGCAAGTGATGCAATGCTATATTTCTTCAAATCTGATGAAGAAACAAACTCATCCACATCTTGGACGGCCTGCGTGTGAGTATTTGAATTTTCAGTTTCAGAATTTAAGTTTTCATTTTTGGGTGAACAACTCCTTTTAAAGCTTCTACTGTGGTTAAAATTGCTTTCATAAAAAGTTTTCGTTCTGCAAGACACCAAAACATTGCTGAAGTCATCATTCATATGTCAAGCATTGTGGGTTTGGGAGTTCCTTACATCCATGCAATTATAACTTAAAGCATTCACTTTCATATTTAAACATAGTCACTCCCAAATCTGTGCACGTCTGTACTTGTACACTGTAATTATTTTGTCTGCTAAAAGGGTTGTTTTTCTCTCTGTTTAGAACTGCCACCCACTCAATGTGACAAACAGTAAGGTTTTCCCAATAAACAGATCCCAGGACAAGGTTGGACTGTATACGTGCTTTGTGAACTTTACTTTTGGAGGGAAAAATTACTCTGCTGCCCAGACAACAGAAATCTACAGCCACTCTTCAGATTATGGTATATGACTATTCAAAATCTGAAAGGACCCTATAGGGCCACTATAGTGGCTTTGTTCCAAAACCTATTTCATTTCAGCTAGTAGATTTTATTTTTATTTAGTTTAACTTGATGTTCTAAAATATGTAAAACTGGAATAAAAATGAATAAATACTATAGGCCTACAGACATAAAAAAAAAAAAAACATATACAAATGACAAAACCACACCACAAAATTATTAAGACTTTAACTGTACTTAGAATGAAAACAGAAAATATAATAAATTTATAGATTTATGTATCTCAGTTATAGTAAAAGTACACTGCTTGGATTCCATTGAGGAAAACATCTAATGAACTACATTTTAGCACTATAAAGACACTTGAAATACATATAGCGTTTTGCAAGTCTGTATAATTTTGCAATAAAGATATGGTTTGAAAAGATAAATGCTTTATTAATATCAACATTGGACCAATAGATGGCAGTATAGAGCTGAAGTGAAAATGTTCAGATTGAGAGTTTTTCTGTGGTTTGATCATTAATGTGATAAATGTTTCATTACCAGTGGTGACAAAGCCTGAAATCATCTACCCAAAGCAAGAAACACAAAAAGTAACACTTGGTGAGTGATGATGAGGATGATATTTTAACTTCTGTCATCCAAGCTCTTCTGCTGCTCTATAGGTGCATTGGTGTTAGTTCTTATGTGTTTTATAGGAATTGTTCACCCAAAATGAAAATTTGCTAACAATTTACTTACCCTCAGGCCATCTAAGATGTAGATGAGTTTGTATCTTCATCAGATTTGGAGAAATGTAGCATTGCATCAGTGTCTCAGCAATGGATGCTCTGCAGTGAATGGGTGCCGTCAGAATGAGAGTCCAAACAGCTGATAAAAACATCACAATAATCCACAAGTAATCCACACCACTCCAGTCCATCAGTTCACATCTGGAGAAGACAAAAGCTGAAACAAATCCACCATTAAGAAGTTTTTAACTTCAAGCCATTGTTTCAGACTAAAATACGAGTCCATAATCCATAATAACGCTTCCTCCAGTGAAAAAGTGCATCTCCTGTTGTCTCTCACATCAAAATCCAGCCACATATTTGTTTAGAGCTGTTTAAACAGTGCTTGATCTGTGCAGATTTCTCTCCTGATTCACACCAGAACACTTTTTCACTGGAGGAAGTGTTATGTATTATTATTATTATTATTATTTTGAATTAGCCTTTAATATTATATTTTCAGTTTTAGTTTTTTCCTCCCAATTTAAATATTTTTCTTAGTCGTTTATATATATATATATATATATATATAAATTTTTATTTTTCATTTACATTTTTTATATAAAAAATCAAGTTCTTTTCATTTTAATACTTTTGTTTTATTTTATTAATATTTAGAATTTATTTTTATTTCACCATATTTCATTTATTTTTATTTTAGTTTTAGTAATTTTAGTAATTCACAGTCTCCATAAAGAATTTTATATTATGGATTATGGACCCGTATTTTAGCAACAGTTTAACGTTTAAAAACGTCTTAATGCTGGATTTGTTTCAGCTTTTGTCTTCTCCAGATGTTAACTGATGGACTAGAGTGCTGTGGATTACTTGTGAAGTTTTATCAGCTGTTTGGACTCTCATTCTGACGGCACCCATTCACTGCAGAGGATCCATTGGTGAGCAAGTGATGAAATCCTACATTTCTCTAAATCTGATGAAAAAAATCAACCTTATTTACATTTTGGATGGCCTGAGGCTGAGTACATTTTCATTTTTGGGTTAATTAGTCCTTTAAGGCAGTCGTGGCCTAATGGTTAGAGAGTCGGACTTGAAGGTTGCGGGTTTGAGTCTCAGGTTCGGTAGGGATTGTCGGTGGGGGGAGTGAATAACCAGCGCTCTCTTCCACCTTCAATACCACGACTGAGGTGAGACACCTTGAGCAAGGCACCGAACCCCCAGCTGCTCCGGGTGTGTGTTCACGGCGTGTGTGTGTGTGTGTGTGTGTGTGTGTTCACTACTCACTGCTGTGTGAGTGCACTTGGATGGGTGAAATGCAGAGCACCAATTCTGAGTATGGGACACCATGCTTGGCCACACGTCACGTCCTTTTCCCTTTCCTTTTTTCAGTTCAAGAAATGAATTGGAATTTCAATTCTGATTGAGCCTGATGTACGTGATCATGTGCAGTGTGTGTTTGAAAAGTGCAATAACATTCATGTCATCACAGGTGAAAGTTGCACACTTAAGTGCAAAGCTCTCGTTGGGAAGAACGACAATGGAGAAACTTTTATTTACTGGTCTAGTGACTCTGAATCTCTTGATCCGACCTTCAACTTCAGCATGTAAGGACAAAAGAAACATTTGCTCTTTATGCATGAATATTTTATATATAAAGAGAGCGAGTGTTTTATAAATGATGTGACTAACCACCGACTAACCTCATTTTATCAGCGTGAAAGAGGGCGATCGGGAGTACCTGCTGTCTGTTTTATACATCACAGAAGTCACAGAAGAATATTTCTACACTAATTTCACCTGTGCGGTTCAACACCCAGTAGGTTCAGATTTTGGAAAAGTCTTTCTTATTCCAGGTGGGCTCTAGTTTATCTTTTACTCTTGTATATTATTGTTTATGTCTGCTCTTTTCTAACCTGCTTTCTTGTCTTCTTTCTTCTTCTTACTTGTCTCTCCAGCGAGTCAGAATGAGCGTTATTACTGGATCGGTCTTGGTCTGGTGGCTCTGCTCATATTACTGTGTGCCGTGGTGTTTCTCTTTAGAGTCGATCTGGTTCTGGCTTACAGAGCTGTTTGCTCGTCTGCTGCCGTAAGCAGCGGTATGTCTTTATCTCAGATTCACTTATTTTATTGACTGTGCTCTGTAGAGATGCTTTTAGAGATGCTGTAGATTGACCTTGATGACCATGCTTTAGTTTTAAGTAAACATAAAATGAAAAGAAGAAACATTAATATTTAATAATTTTTAATATTAAATATTATTATAATATTTACATTAGTAAATATTTATATAATTACTTATGTATTATTTTTTATTATTATTTAGTCATATTTGTTGTGTTTTTATTTTGCATAAATATTTTTTTTGCATTGTGATATTGTTTCAATGACAGTTATGCACATTTTAAATAAATATATAATGAAATTAACTGAAAATGCAATGCAAAAATCTTAATGCTCCTAAAATAAGCTTGTGGAGAAAGAAAGAAAGAAAGAAAGAAAGAAAGAAAGAAATTGTGATATTGTTTCAATGACAGTTATGCACATTTTAAATAAATATATAATGAAATTAACTGAAAATGCAATGCAAAAATCTTAATGCTCCTAAAATAAGCTTGTGGAGAAAGAAAGAAAGAAAGAAAGAAAGAAAGAAAGAAAGAAAGAAAGAAAGAAAGAAAGAAAGAAAGAAAGAAAGAAAGAAAGAAAGAAAGAAAGAAAGAAAGAAAGAAAGAAAGAAAGAAAGAAAGAAAGAAAGAAAGAAAGAAAGAAAGAAAGAAAGAAAGAAAGAAAGAAAGAAAGAAAGAAAGAAAGAAAGAAAGAAAGAGAGAGAAAGAAAAATAAAGTTATTTTTTGTGGTAAAATATGACTTGGACATGTTTGGCCAATGTTTCCCAGCTTTAATAAATATTTGTAATTCTTTACAAAATCATCACATTAAAGAAGATTATAGAGTGGAATATTGACGGCAAACCTGCATGATTTTGTGACAATATTGTGATGATTTTGTCATCAAACCAATTACAACTATTGTTATTATTATTATTAATATTTTATTATTATATTATTAAATCTGGGAAACATTGCCTAAAAATGTCCAAGTCATATTTGACCTTAAAATAAAAATAAAATAATAATAATCAGTGCACAATCAACAGGTGGCAAAACAGCATATGTTTGAGTATCAGTATGTATAAAATAATTGTATATTTTTTTTATTTTGTAATTAAAATAATTACATTGTGATTTTACTGTTATATTTTAATTGTAATTTTTCGAGCTTTCCATTGATGTATGGTTTGTTAGGATAGAACAATATTTGGCCGAGATACAACTATTTGAAAATCTGGAATCTGACGGTGCAAAAAAATCTAAATATTGAGAAAATCATCTTTAAAGTTGTGCAAATGAAGTTCTTAGCAATGCATATTACTAATCAAAAATTACGTTTTGATATATTTACAGTAGGAAATTTACTAAATATCTTCATGGAACATGATCTTTACTTAATGTCCTAATGATTTTTGGCATAAAAGAAAAATCTATAATTTTGACCCATACAATGTATTTTTGGCTATTGCTACAAATATACCCCAGCGACTTAAGACTGCTTTTGTGCTCCAGGGTCACATATTTTATTTTTGTAGGTGTTGATTATTCTCATGCTTTATTTAAGATGGCAAGTTGTACGATGCGTATGTGAGTTACCTTCATGGTGATCAGCACAGCTCATCTTCTGCGATGACGTTTGCCTTGGATTTCCTTCCTGCGGTGCTGGAGGATCTTTATGGTTACAAACTCTTTATCAGTGGTCGTGATGAACTTCCTGGGGAAGGTAAACATCCTGTCACATGATCACACCAACACAACTCTAATGACACAAAAACCTGTTCAAATAACCAATGCATGTTTGAATTAAATAACTGAAAATTCTTGATTTTAAAAATTGCAGAAAAGTAAAAAAAATAATAATAATTTAACACGTACATTTTTTTTTTTTAATTAAAATTGTCTCTGCAGCATAACACTCAATTTTTTTTTTATTTAAGATCAATATATCTGAATAGCATATAAAATGTCCATGCATTTGGATTACACATTTTTAACATAATCAAATTTGATGCATATTTGTCAGTCATACATAAACGAAAGAGGGCAGATTTCTGTAATAGTACTAATAAAATAAATGTGTTTAAAATACACAATAACTAGCTTTATATTTTTATCATCAATAAAACCAATTGTGTCAACCTCAGAAATTTTAACCAAATATTGCTTGTTCAGCACAGCTAACCATATTTTAACCACGTTCATACTTTTGAACTGAATATATTAATTGTTTTCACGATGAACAGATTTATGATGATTTTAAGCAATTTTAATAAATGCATTTTGAAAATATGATATGAATAAAATCAAATAGATGCAAATTGCTATTAAAACTTACCATTGTTTTGAGTGCATATGTTGCATTTATGTATGACTGAAAAATATGCATCACATTGTTTGTTAAAACTGTGTAATCCAGTGTTATTTTAGCATCATTGATATAATATTATAGTTTTCTTATTAATATTGTTATTAATATTATAGTTTTTTATTATTTAATTTATTCCTTTTTCATTTTAAAGTTTTAGTAATTTTGTTGTGTTTTTATCATTTTTATTATATATATATATGGGTTAAAGACGAGTAAGGGTTTAAGCATAAAAACAATACGTGTAATACTGCTTTAAATTGTTGTTGTTTTTCCCCAAAACATGTAAAAAGTTTTCTGTTTAATTTAATTGCAATTTTGTTTTTGTTTTTCCGAGCAAACAATAAATATCATACATTTTTCCCTGATTTACAGAAGACACCCACTAAAATGTCATTCAGTGTAACAATCTTGTCAGGCATATTTACAACAAAAATCAATTTATGACATATTAAAAGACTAATTACTTTCACCCCAAATA